CCCCTCTTCTTTATAAATCTTAGCTTCAGCCCTGGTGATGAGGATGAAATTATGGAGTATATTCGGTTTTTAACGATCATAAAGGTTATTACGAGAAAACTAATTGTTTACATGTATAAATTTAAAAATCTTGCAAAGATTTTAGAGATCTAAAAAAAGAATAACAAGCAAATAAAATAGAACGGATGGAGTATAACATATTGAATATTAAGATTCTTGAAAATGATTATTAATTATATAAAAAAAAAATAGTTTTAATTTTAAATATCATATAATATCTGTAAATATCCAAAGCAGGGGAAGACCACTAGTTATAATTAATACACCTTGAAGTCAGCTGAGATGAGAAAATATTGAGGCATATGCTTTATTACCTAGACTAGACTAGATGATATCTTCATATCACATATCTTAAATCATCATTTTTCCTTTTTTGTGTTTTAGCCTTTTAGGTATCATCAATCATCATTAATATATCCTAAATAATGTTTGGATGGAGAATTTTGAAATCCATATAATCTGCCCTTGTTTATTAAAACTAAAAACTTGGTAAAATAATACATCAAATGAGAGATTGGATCTTGATTCAGGAGGGAATTTTGAATAACTTGTGAGTTTTTCTTATTTTTTATTGTATCAAATGATATATTTATGTCAAAGTTATGAATTATTATTATTATTATTATTTTACATATATTCAATATCTCTTGAATCAACTCCGAAAGGGTGAGATGGGATGAAATAAATCTCTTTTCCCTTAACCAGAGGTCTCAAATCTGAACCCTGTGCATGGAGTTCTTTTTAACACTCGGGAGGGAGGGCTTTGCCCTTTTTGTGGGTTTGCCCAGCGTGAATCCAGATTAGTCGGTGTTGAAACCAAAAAAAATCTCTTGAATCAAATATAGTAATAGTTGGACTTTCGAATTATTAATGATGAAACTTCATAAGAGCAAAATTAACTAAATAACAATATTGATAGTTTAATATTTGAAACTCATTTTTTAGCACTGAAATGGAAAGAGAGGAAGAGTTAATTATAACTCATAAAATGGACAAAAAGGAAGTAAGTTGTAACCATGTTGAAGCAAAAATTCATTAAACATGGGAAGTGCAATACTGATGTAACAAAGTTATACATAGGATGTGTTTCGCAAAATTAGTTATTTTGATAGTTGTTAGTTATTTTAGTAGTTTTGCGTAAAACGCTAAAAGCTAAATGTTATATGGATTAATTTTTTATAAAATACTACTTTAATCTTTAAAAATTATTTCAAATATTACGTTACCGAACATTGTAAAAAATAGCCTTAGCGTTTTGAACGGTCAAAACAATGAAAGCTATTTAAAAAACTGTTGCAGAATATAACCATAGTTAAAGTATTCGTCTTTGAACCTTGTTAATTTAACTTTGTTGCACCATCAAGGCACCAACTTTGATAGAGACCTAATGTGCCTCTAAAATTATGAATTTCGATAATGTTACATGCTTTTCTACACTAACGATAATAATTTCTAAGGTTTTTCTTTTAAATATTAAACATTAATTTGATGTCTGGTTACCACAATTTTCTAAACACTACTTTTCATATTTTCAACCATTTAATTGATCTAATTTTATAAGTTGAGGTGTTGAATAAAATTTTTAAAAATTTAAAGTGTTTAATAGATGTAATTTTATAAATTGAAGTATTTGATTAATCAAATTAAAAGGTGAGAATACCACAATATTAAAGTAAAAAAAAAAAAAAAATTTAAAGATCAATTTATGTATTCTGCCATATTTCTACATTGCTAGTCCAGATTATCTAAGGAGTTCTTGATTTGATAGAATCAGTGTGTCAAGATTATCTTGTCAACGCAAAGAAATAGAAATATCTTCGCACTTCTATTACACTGTAAACCTAATATTTGACACCTCAAAATCTCATCAGAAAACTTCCCATTTTAGGATTATTACATGTCTTAGAATTGCCTGTCATTACTACTTTTGTTTCCCATTTTGGATGCCCAAAATTTCGTAAACATGCAACTTATGCTGCGCAAAATATGGTAAACCTGACCGAATCAATGAATCGATGGATTCAATTTGGTTCATTTTCAAAAATTTAGTTTGGTTTTGGTCATTTTAGCGGTGAGGATTTGGTGATAGCAACTAAGGAGACGTTGAGGTGTATTTGCCAACTTTGATTGGATTTCCATGGTAGATTTTGAGATTTGAAAAACAGAAAGTTTTTGGCAATGATTATAATGGATTTCTATTAATTAACTCATGTGGAAGTGAAGATGGTGAATGGAGGAAAAGAAAGAGAAATAGAATACGCCATGAATGGGTAGAGAGGAGAAGAGAAAATGATGAATGGAGGAAAAGAAAGAGAAATAGAATATGAATGGGTAGAGAGGAGAAGAGAAAATGATGAATGGAGGAAAAGAAAGAGAAATAGAATACGCCATGAATGGGTAGAGAGGAGAAGAGAAAATGATGAATGGAGGAAAAGAAAGAGAAATAGAATACGCCATGAATGGGTAGAGAGGAGAAGAGAAAATGATGAATGGAGGAAAAGAAAGAGAAATAGAATACGCCATGAATGGGTAGAGAAGAGAAGAGAAAAGGAGAGAGATTAAAAACAAAGAATATTTATCTTTTCATATTGAGCATATAAATTTTTTTTTTTTCTACTAGATAACTAACAACTACGAAACCAGCTTTATTTTTACTTAACGATTAACAACCAATGCCACATGGTCAAAGTGGAGCTTCAGAGGATGAATGACCTAGTAGCTGTGAGTTATTTATTTACTTTTTATTAAACGTTAAAAGAAATAATGTTTTATAACCAGTTTTCTCATATCCTAAAAACTAATATAAATATTATATTACGAATTATATAAATAACTGAGAAGTTACATGAAAAGTTATTACCGTGTATGTCCTAAATTGTGCTTTTGCTTAAATTGTCTTAAATTGTTATCCCGGTGGTGGGGAAGGAAGGACACCATTGATCCCAACAAGGTTATCCATATGAAGTTGGTGATGATCAGATGGGAAAAATGACTCTACTGGTGACCGGTTGGGGGATAAAGGGATGAAGCAAGGGACAAATAAAGAGAATAAAATAATATTTTCTCCGTCCTATTTTATTTGTATAATTTGATAAAACACGCATATTAAAATTTTAATTAATAAAAATTATTTACCTTTTTTTTACCTTGACTCATTAAGATATCAATAAAAGTCCTCCGGTTAATGAATAATCATAAAAATTATTATGAAAAAAATAATTATTTAAATATATAAATTTAGAAATCTTGCAAACATTTTGGAACATTCCAAAAAAAAAAACAAGCAAAAAAAATGGGACGGAGGGAATATTATTTTTTCTAAAGTAAATTATAGTTACAATTTTATATATACATAAAGAAAAAAAAAAGTATAATTACAACAAAGCTTAAAATTTGGATTGGTCAGCATAATGTTCTATGTAAATATACTTACTAAATATTATTTAATAAATAATTAAAATTACACATTTTATCCTAAAAATCATAAAAAAAAATAAGTAATAAAAAATTTCTTCCAAAAAAAGTAATAAAAGAATTTTCTACATATATATTTTAGTTCAAAAAAGATAAATTATATATTCAAATTCCATTTAAATTCGCTAGTTTGTACAAGTTAGACAATATCTAAATTGATTCCACTTAAGGAGTCAAATTTAAAGTAGTTAGACCGCCTATTTTCTTTTGTTTTAGATTCAGCTAAGAAAGAAAAAAAAAAAAAAAAAGAGGGTTTTACTTGGGTATATATGATGTTTTTTAATTTTATGTGGGAGTGAAAAAAGAGAAATGAAGTGTCATCTCTTATCTTTATTTGTGTTTATCCTGTTCTTGGGAATTTTATCAACTTTCAGAAGTTCAAGAATATCAATTAATAACAGGTACCTTAGTCTAGTTGTTAAAGTTAATTAGTCCATCCAGAAGTCATGAGAGATCAATAATTAATGATAATCTCACTTATCTAAATTACAATTGAAAAACTATTTTCATCATGATCAAATGATTTCTAGAGGTGAAAACCTTAAAAAATGGCAAGAGCTCATAATTCATTATTGCAAAACAAATTCCCAATATTTACATGTATGAGCTTTTGCTTGAGTATAGCAAATCCTTTCACTTCTTGCAGTGCATTCTTGCCACCCCCAGCTTTTCTAATCATGCACATGTGAGAAAACATTACAGGCCTATATTATTTTGATAACTATTAACTGTTTACTGTCTGTAGCGTATTTGGTAGCAATTAACTGTAGCATATTTGATAGCAATTAACTGCCTTTGGTTAACTGTTTAGCAAGTAATTAAGTATTTAAAAGCATTTTTGGTAGCTATTTAAAAGTATGGGTGTAAACGAGCCGAGCTGGCTCCCGAGCAAAGTTCGGCTTGAAAAAAGTTCGAAAAGGCTCGGCTTGAAACTCAACGAGCCTAAAAGTTCGAAAAGGCTCGGCTTGAATCGAGTCCGAGCCTAAAATTTTTAGGCTCGTTGAATTTCAAGCCTGACAGGTTCAAGTTCAGCTCAGCTCATTTACAATTAGAGTTACAGCTTCCACTTAAGAGTTGGATAACAGATATCAATATAAATCATAAAAACCTCAGCCATAATTGACAATTTATTTTTTTGGTACAAAGCAAAAAACTTAAAATTAAATATATCAAGTTGCATAATCGGATTCAGCATGATAGTAGCAAATTCAATCATAATTGAATTCTTTTGGTAAAATGTTGAAAAACTTTAAATTCTATATTGAAATTACATTCACAGGTTTAGTCTAACAGTGCGTTTCTTGACTCAGAAAAATAATCAAAATACTACCAAAAAAAAAAAAAAAAAAAAAAAAAAAAAAAAAAAAAAAAAAAAAAAAAAAAAAAAAAAAAAAAAAAAAAAAAAAAAAAAAAAAAAAAAAAAAAACTGGAATGAAATTACTATAACTGAATTAATAAAGGGGTAGATCAATTTGTAGATCAATGATCAATCAATCATCACTAAAGCTTTCTTCTCCATCTTCTTGCATAACATAAGGCTTATTTAGATCAATGTTTAACATTCCATGGGTAGCTTGAATACCTTCTGGTTTTCCACAGGATGAAGGAGTATTAAAAGCAAAATTACTTGCAGAAGAATGATTAGCATCTTCATTTGGTAAACCTTTTGCTGGTGCTTTCCAATGCGACCTCTTATGACCGCCCAATGCTTGACCTGTAGGATATGTTTTCTCACAAATATCACATTGAAAAATATTTTCCATTGGAGATCTTACTTGGTCATCATCATCATCTTCTTCTTCTTCTTCAGCTTCTGATTCTGGAATTTCATCGGCCACCACGCCATCGTTTCCATCTACTTCTTCATTCTCCAGTTTCATTTTCTTGTTTTTATGGTTTACTAATAACCCATAATTCTGATTTGAATCAAACCCTAATTTTTTATCAGACTCAAGAACCCTCCTGAAGGATTTAGTTGCAGACCCACTACCCTCCTGTTGGTGACCGGCGGATTCTTGTGTAGTAATATCACGTGCCAATGTCAATAGACTCTGAGCTGCCTGAGGAATAAGATCAGATAAACAACTCCGGCCTCTCTTGTCTCTCCTACTCCAACCTGACAAAGAACTCAACAAATCAATACTATTATCAGAATTCTCCTTAGCCGTGGACACGGAGGCTGAATAGATCTGATCAATACCGGAAGAAGAGGAAGGACGATTAATTCCTTTCCAGTCCCTATCAGGATGGAATCTCATATGACCAAACAAAGAATGATAAGAATCAAAGACTTCCCCACATAAACAACAAGTTGGTTTCCCATCGCTACTCATTCTTACATCACCAGCTTTAATCACATTACACCTCCCAACAATCTTAGAGCCACCGTCCTCAACTACGCCGCCGTCATTTTTGTGTTTCTGGATATTAGTCTTTACTTCTTGATTTCTTTTACTATTATTCTTCAAAATCTTTAGATGATGTCTTTTATGGCCACCCCAAGCCTTACCATTGTCGAACTTCTTACCACAAAATTCACACACACGGTATCCAAGTTGCCCAGGTTTAAGTTGCTGGAAATCATCTCCTCCACCACTGCCACCATCTCCTTGAGCTTCAGTGGTGGCAGCGGCGGTTGTGGGCATCTTGATTTTTATACAAAGTTTGTTTTTGGAAGAAGAATCTTCCATTGGAGGGTTATGATTGCTGCTGTTGTCCATGAGATTTGAAAGATTAGGGTTCAAGGTTAGCAGTGAAAGAGAGAAAGAAAGGAAGAAAGATGAAGAGAGAAGAAAGGAAGGATGTCTATATTACCGGGAAAGAAGAAAGGAAGTTCTTGGATTGGATTGGATAGGGAAATATTATGAGATTTGAGGGAAGAAAAGATCTCAGAAAAAAAGGGTTAGTCCTTATTAGATTTCCAAAAACAATAACAGATCTGAGAAGACTTGCCTTTGATTCTTCAATGACAAGTGAATGAAAGTCTTTCCTTGGAAACCATTCGACATTAGAACTCTTCGTTTCATTTTCCATATATTTGTCTCTATGTATTCACATTTTTTCAGAAATAAAAAAGGAAAAAAAAACCAAATATATTATCAATAAATTCTTTTCTTTTAAACAATTTTAATTACCCTAGACTTTGTAGGAGCTTGTTTAATAAGCTAAAAGATAATGAAATAAAATTAGTTCAATTTATAAAAATTATTTTGATTTATTACAAAAAATAGAATTAATTACACGTAATTTTTCTCATGATTACCAAGAAAAAAATGGTTTGCTTGTGAAATAAATTAGTATTAGTATATACTAATACTACTAATTAGTATATTTTTTGATTGATTAAACAGGAATTAACCGTACAAATATACAATTTTAAGTTTAAAAGGTTTTTCTTCAGTTAATAGGGAAGAGTTTTTTCTTTTTCTTTTTTTTTTTTTTTTTTTTTTTTTTAAGGTTTTTTCTTCAGTTAATAGGGAGTTTTTTCTTTTTCTTTTTTTTTTTTTTTTTTTTTTTTCTCTTTCAAGGCAAAGAGAGTTATTAGGATGAAGGCCAGTTTATTTTTTGGAAGCTAATTTTTTTTTTTTTTTTTTTTTTTTTCCTTTCAAGGCAAAGAGAGTTATTAGGATGAAGCCAGTTATATTTTTTGGAAGCTAATTATAAATTTAGCCATTTATTTTTTGCAAAAGGTTTTTGAGGATTCATTGTGGTTCTAAAATTAAAAATTTTCATGATTTTTAACTTTTATATGTAAATATGGATATGATATACAATTTCTAGATTAATAATTTTTACATTTTAAATGATTTTATAAGTTAAATTATTTGATAAGTGTAATTGGATAAATTTAAATATTTAATTGATCAAAGTAAAAGTCGAGAGTGACATAAAATTTTTCGCGAAAAGTAAAAAGTAAATTTATCACTTGACATTCTTTGGAATGAGTTTCTTACGTATAAATTTATACATACACATTATGTCTAAATTTGTATTATTCTTGGTTTTGTAAATGAAAATAACATTAAATTTAATTTGGTGTTAATTCTATAATCACCGATTTTAGTGCATTTCAACCATTACACGATGAAACATCATGGGTATGTCAACATAAATTTATTTCTATGTATGTTAAACAATTCCATTTTTATTCAAAAAGTTTATCTTAATTTTGTTGCAATTAGTAATTACAATAAAGTCCTAATGTGTTTATGGTAACTTCCAACCAAAAAGAATCCCAACAGTTAATCTATCTTTTTTTTTTTTTTTATGGAACAAACGCGGATCTGTACTGAATTTATTTGGTAGGATCAAAAACATTATTTGGGTCAATTTAACCCTTAAACTTATATAAAATGATTAAAAAGAATTAATTTCAGTTTTTAGGCCAATTTAGTCCCTAAATTTATGTAAAATGATTAATAAAAATCATATTTGACATTTTGAGTCAATTTAATCTCTAATTTTTCATTGTACTTATAATGTGAAAATCATTATATATACATTTATTAAAATTATAGTTGGGATTGAGCTAATTAATTTATTAAAATATTAATTAATTATAAAATATAGGAAAATAATATATGAAGTATATTGTATCTTTCTTTTTACATTGATTGATGGTTTTGAGTTTATAAATATGTATTAATTTGAACATTTTAATATTAATCTCTATTATTGGGTTATCACTTATGAAATCTATGTATTTTTCATATTAAATAAATTAAAATTAAAATTCATATTTATAAATTTATTATATTACAAGAAGTGATGTTGTAATGAATTTTGAATTTATATTCATAAGTGTTGGAAAAGTTTAATCTGAGTGTTTTTAGTATAAGACAAGAATGAATAAAAAGTCAGTCATGTTAAACTAACTCGATTATTAATTTATAAAAATTAAAACAAGTTAAAAAGTTAAATTGGTCTACAAAGTGAAATCGGATATTTTTAATCATTTTATATAAGTTTAAGAGCTAAATTGGCTCAAAAGGTCAAATCTGACCTTTTGGTCCAGCTAAACACGTTGACATTTATTCTTTTTTATATAAATAATAAAACAATTTAAAATTTATATTAAATTAGTTTAACATCCAGCATTTAATTTAATTCTTTAAATTGCAGTTTAATTTTTTTTTTTGTTTGAATCAAACTGTAATTTTTGCTTCTGTATAGTGGTGGAAATGGTGGTGGAGCTACAACTTATATAAACAAACAAATTAATTCCTGCAGAAAGCAATATTTGATTCCTTCAAAAAATAAAAAAATAAAAAAAAGCAATATTTGATTAGTTATAAATTGGTAACTTTTTAAATGGAAAAGGAGATTACGCTGGAGTTCTACTAACCTAATTACTGGCAAATTAAAGATTTTTTTAATAAATTATTTCTGAAGAGAAAAAAAAAAGATTTTGAATGTAAAAAAATAAATAATATGCTAAAATAAAATGTATAACAATTAAAGCATAATTTCGATTTTTGAGCCGAGGAATTGGGGAATATGTAATTTTCCTAAATTTCCTAAAGACATAAGATTATAAGAGGGCATGGGCATGCAACAGTCAGCCGATTCGATTCAAAATTGAATCAATCCAGCTGAATCAAATAATATATGTAATTGAAATAAATCCGTTTAATCCAATTCAATTTGGTTCAATTTTAACTATTTTTTTATATAAAAATGAAAGGGTAATATCTTTCCAGAGCGAATTTCGTTAAATCTGAAAATTTTTTAATGAAAATTTTGACTCAAGTACCCTTATAATTTAAGTCAGAGATTAACGTTCAACTATCGCATTATGTTTCTTGTTTTTACTTCTGTGTTAACATTCCCAACCTCAAGTATGCTTCTTTATGGCTATGCCACCATTGAATTGAATCTCGAATTCTCTCTTCTAATGTGTACCTATTTCTACTTTTTATTTTTATTTTTTTCCATTTTTGCTATGGCTTCTTCAAAGTTACAAGAATGTCCTTCCAAGGTATGATCTCGCTTTCATTGTTTTTCATAGGGCTTTAAATCAAACAAATGATGGGCAATCATGTGGTAGGAATCGAGTTCAATGTATTTATTAATCAAGTATTCAACGAAGGAGTTTTAATATTAAAAATATCTTTTTAAGGGTAATAAAGTCAAAATAGTGCCATAAATAAATTCTCAGCTCCAGATTTAACAAAATGCGCTCTGAAAATATCGCTATCCAAATGAAATTATACCAATTATAGAACAGATTGAACCGAACCAATTTCATATTCATTCGATTTATTTGAATTTATTCAATACAGGCGATAACCCCCTTTTCCCCCATGGTGGCTCCGCCATTGCTGCTTGAAGCAGTCACTCATAAAGAAAACCTGAAATGAAAATTTTGTCTCCAAAAGATAGCTTAATATCCATAAATGGATAAACAGTGATGGAAATTTTTTTTCGAAAAAAAAAAAAAAAAGAAAAAGAAATGAAAGCAAAATTGAGAATCTAATATGGTACTTCTAATATATATTATAATATATATATATGGATTCCAAGAGCAAATTATTAATTGTTTGACAGAGTTGATGTAATTAAAGGAATATAGAATAAGTTCATAATATGAAGTTTTGACATCACAAAGCACTGTGGTTATATTGCAAGAATTGATTATTGATATTCCATCACACAGTAACATTTCATAATACCAAATCATCCAAGAAGTACCACCAGAACAAGTGATGAAGAAAATCCCCAAGGCATATTATATCACCAATAGTTCACAAGATCTTGAAATAGCAACTCCAAACAATAGTCCCGAAAAGGATTATCGAGGTGACTGGAGTTACAAATATCAATGCTTTATCACAGCTAATAAATTAGAATTTTCAGCATCTGACTTACTAGCATTCGCTGTCGACATCATCACCAAATGATGCCCCTACAGCATCCGTCCGAATGGGTGGGTCCTTAATACACACACCAGTAAGCCCAAACCAACCTGAGCCTAGTAAAGCATCTGGTCTTGTAAAGTCGATATGATTAGGCACTTCTTTCTCTTCAATGTAAGGGGTTGAAACCTGATTGGCTGTTTCAGGTTTAAGATCATATCCTACAAGAAACACAGGTTAATGTTCATTAATAAAAATGGTCACAGAAAATTCTTGCAACATTAATGTCTTCTTTTGTATAAATGAATTCAGATTTAAAATTTTTAATGTTTCATGTTTGGAATGAATGAAAATGCACATTTTACACTCGCAAATTCAACTCTATGGAATTTAATCGAACTAAACCAAATTCCAACAATTCATAAATAATTTCTATATTTCGAGTTCATTTATACCAAACAAAGATACTCAAAATGCATCATCTCCAATTTTTAATGTTTCATGTTTGGAATGAATGAAAATGCACATTTTACACTCGCAAATTCAACTCTATGGAATTTAATCGAACTAAACCAAATTCCAACAATTCATAAATAATTTCTATATTTCGAGTTCATTTATACCAAACAAAGATACTCAAAATGCATCATCTCCAATTTTTAATGTTTCATGTTTGGAATGAATGAAAATGCACATTTTACACTCGCAAATTCAACTCTATGGAATTTAATCGAACTAAACCAAATTCCAACAATTCATAAATAATTTCTATATTTCGAGTTCATTTATACCAAACAAAGATACTCAAAATGCATCATCTCCAATTTTTAATGTTTCATGTTTGGAATGAATGAAAATGCACATTTTACACTCGCAAATTCAACTCTATGGAATTTAATCGAACTAAACCAAATTCCAACAATTCATAAATAATTTCTATATTTCGAGTTCATTTATACCAAACAAAGATACTCAAAATGCATCATCTCCAATTTTTAATGTTTCATGTTTGGAATGAATGAAAATGCACATTTTACACTCGCAAATTCAACTCTATGGAATTTAATCGAACTAAACCAAATTCCAACAATTCATAAATAATTTCTATATTTCGAGTTCATTTATACCAAACAAAGATACTCAAAATGCATCATCTCCAATCTGACCATAAGTATTAGTATGAGGAACACATCGGGAAGATACACCAAAGGAATCAGCAATTTTCTCGGAAAAATGATCTGTTGATTGAATGAATACTGGAAGACCACTGCTGACACTACAATCCAGAGTAGGAAATATGGTCTCTGATTCTCGAAGGCGTTTCGCGGGATGCATCGCTGGGAACATAAAGTTATTACTATGGGAAGGACTTACACCTTGTTTTAGCATACTGCTTTGAGAAATATCAAGAACTGTCGGTGAATAAGATAGAAGTCCACGGTTGAGTTCTAAATTCTTGAATTCCACTTCTGGAATCTCAAAATGGTCATTCTGTATGAGATTAGAACCATGTGTATCCGTACTTTGCAGTGTTCCCATGTCCTGACTTTCTTGACTTCCATTTAATACTTGCAGGCACACTTCAGGAGGATAAATTGGTAAACCAGCTCGCTGAAGTCTCTTTATTCTTGTATTCCAGTAATTTTTTATCTCATTATCTGTGCGTCCAGGCAACTACAAAAGACATAAAATTCAAATAGATCAACAAGATTTGGGATAGACTGTTTCTTCTCAACAAAGCAAAGTATCCTTGCAATATAAAACTAAAATTATGCAGGTTTTGCAATCAAACATTCAAAAATGTTATTCTCCCAGAACATAGATAGAGCACTATGAGCTAATTCTGAAGAAAATTATAGACATTTCTAGTCCAGCATCTCTTTAAGAAGAAAAGTGACCTCTAAAAAAAGCTACTTGCAGTTTGCTACTAAGTAATTTGTCATACACTGGTACAGATATCAATTCTTTCTTCCTTCAAAATTAAAGGGAAGCCAAATCTTATAAAAAATGAAGATAAAAACCAATCTTTTGCATGTAGAAAATATAGCAGTCTAGATATCTGAAGTGTAAATTTTACAACCACTTGATCTCCTAACACAGAAGCACCCACCTCTTCGAATTTCTATTTCTCCCTCTACACAGCAAAAAAAAAAAAAAAAAAAAAAAAAAAAAAAAAAAAAAAAAAAAAAAAAAAAAAAAGGAGGATAACAGATAAAAGACTGGGGAAAAAGAAGTTTTTTCTTTGGAAGAAAACATGTTTGTCAACCTAAATATCTTCCTCCAGAGACCCAGTCCAATTTAAGAAGTATCTCGTCTATATATGGGTATGACAACCTTTATAGCTGTTTAGCTCATCTATAAAGCAAAACATGCCCCACTGGTTTTTAAAATCATCAGTAGAATCCACTTCTGAGCTTCTTGTCAGTCTCTCAATCTCTAAATCATAAGTAAATAAAATACCTCAAAGAAAGTCGAACTTAGCACACAAAAAGCTTCCTTCCTCTCAAGTTGGCTTATAACATCAAAGGAATTCCATTTTTCAGAATTCCACTTTAACACTGTCTTTGCTCATAGCAATCCAACACCTTAAAATAATAACCTGAAACTAACTCTACCATTCTTTAATGAATATTCTGAACAAAGTTCATCTCAAGCAATAGTCCCATTGTCAAAATTGAATCAAGAATAAACTGCATTAACCTTTTCCCCAATTGATCATCTTGGGCATGAAGAGGGAATTTTATGTTCTGACTACCATGGCAAAAGGGAAAGCATCCCTCCCATTCCACACCTTATAAATCCATTCAGACCATAATATAATTTCTAAAATGAAAAGCATTTTGTTAAAATGTTGATATCGACATGCATACTATATATACTATTGAGCAAATAAATAAGATGAAAACGACACATTATTGCAAAGGAATAAAACAAAGTGGAGAAAAAGCATAGAATTATAGAAGTTGCATTCCTAACTATTATGATTTGCAATGTTAATTCTGAAAATTAGCAACAGTGATTTCCAAAGCTAACTAAAAAGCAAGGTTCTTGAAATGCAAAACAAAATAATATTGTTAGCAATAAAAATATAGTTTACACAAAAGAAAATATCACATAGAATATTTTAGTTGAACACAGTTCAAGAATCCTGGCAACCATAAATAAAAAAAGTAAGAAAGTATAAATAAAACATAGTAGAACCAACACACTTAAATAGCAACATCATGTTCATCATACAAAAAAAAAAAAAAAAAAAAAAAAAAAGTCATATGATATCATAAGATCACATATCATCGTTTAAACTCTCATGAACATGATGTGCTGCATCTCTAGTCCTCCCCACTAGCTGCCCACTACGACAAGACTATTCAGGTCTTTCCCCTCTACAATCCCCATAGTAAGAGTGCTCTTCCTCTCTCCGTCTCTCTCATGGATGCACATAAATATATAAATATGTTTGGGACTTTCCTTTCTTTCTCACCTCAAACAATGTCAGTAAAACCTTCAGTTGCAGTTTTAAATTGTTACAACATAGATTAAAAAAAATACCAGCAGAAGCCGTTACAGAATTGTTACCAAGAATTCAAATCAGTTTTAACCGGTTTTGATAAAAGTACACCAGAGCTGCTTGAGGCATGTAATTGAAGGCAACAAGGAAAGGCGCTCTGTTTTCCCCTCAAAGCAATGCACATTTGCTAAGGCATATAGAATTTCATTTTCTTTTTACAACTGGTCCAAGAGGAGTTGAACATGCATAACATATTGGTTATACTTGATTTCTCGTCATGTCAAACATACTTGCAAAAGCTTCTAGAGGTAAAAACCAAATGAATCACTATTTTGTTTACCATTCTTTTTAATAATTCAGTTGCACCTTACTAATGCTCCATGCGGAAATTCTTTCTCTCGAAAGTACGCAGCTTAGTCCAATAAGCATGCACTTGTTCATGTGGCATGTTAGACAATGTCCCTTGCGCTTTTAACAACAGTGGTTAGAACCAGAAGTGAAGTTAACATTAATTACAAATTGCTGGTATATTTTGCTAATATAAATTAGTTTAAGACCTGAACTACATTATTGCAGTTAATAGCTTCACAACAATATTCAGACACACAAGATTTTTACAAGACTATTTAAGCAATGAGTAAGATTAATAAGAAATAAATAAAAAAAATTCCTATCCCACATGTGCGTTGCCACTTGATATAAAAATTTGATGTTAAGGCATGCATATAGAGAAACTAATGAAAAGATTAAAGCTACCAACCTCTGCAGCCATTCTTGCCCATTTGTTTCCCATCTTAGCATGGAGCTCAATTATGCGGCGCTCTTCCTCTGGAGTGAATGCACCCTTCTTTAAATCTGGTCTTAGGTGATTTGCCCATCGCAAGCGACAGCTTTTTCCACATCGGGAGAGCCCTGAGTGCTTCTGGACAGCATTCCAGTTTCCCTCTCCATGCTTAGTAACATAATCCACCAAAATTGCATCTTCTGCGGCAGTCCATGGGCCCTTCTTCAAAGGACCATTACTAGCTTCTTCAAGCGCTGGTGATTCCCGACGGACTTTTGACCTTTTATTGTCCTCAACCCCATTTGTCATTCTTTTCATCTGCTGAATATGCCTGAATAAACTGAATTATGATAACTCATAAGTGAAGCAGTTCATTTGAAATCAGAAAAGTGAAATAACATAGGGTACAACTAAGAAAAAAGAGAATGGAGTGCTCTACTTGCATTTCAAGATAATTATAAGCCAAAGATAAAGCTCCAAAAGTCAATGTAGCAAGAAATAATCTTTATAAATGCACTTGATATACAACAAATGCATATGCATAGAATTGGAAAAAACAAAATGCATGTGTAACTAAAGGTGCAGTACATTCCAAGCTGAAGATCACTAGAACCATAGAACCATCATGAATTCCCTTAAATTACAAGTTATGGAACTTGGAAGTCTTTCAGTGCATTAGTTGGATTCATATGGAACCTATTGCTAAATCAAATTTCGAAGATCTACTACATAAATCCAATTGTTTTATCATCTCTGTGGGCGCACCTTGCTCAGGTAATTTTACATTTTCCTGAACTTTTTTAAGATTTGTCAATAATAGAACCAGACTCAATTGATAAGAGGATTTTCTACATTTCTTCCCATTTTCAGTAAGTTCCCATTACCAAAAGTAGAACGGAAATTCAAATCACAATTTACTGGAATTTGGACAGAATTATTACCTGAATGGAGTAAAAGCTTGTGCAGGTTGCCAAATTCAATGGAGTAATGAGGCATCCATAATTCCCAACTTCCTCAACAGAGAAAAACCTATGATCTCTCACTAAATCTAATACCACCAGGCACCAGGCACCAGCCAATGAAAAAGCAAGATTACAAATACCAAATTGCCAATAAAAAATCGACAATATTAATCAGTGAAAAGGGAAAAAATGCCAAAACCCTTAAACCCCAATTGAAAACTGAAAAAAAAATTGAGATAAAATAGAACAGATTAAGCAAGATTCTAAAAACAACAATAATAATTAGAATACAAATGGGTAATAGAAATACGGGTTGATAAAACCCATAAAACTCCACATTGACTGAAGACGGAGCTTCACATTTGAGTTGCTATTGATGAAAACCAGAACATAACCAATCAAAAAACATAAATATAATAATACCCAGATCCACCAAAGTAAAACCCATATCATGAAAGTACTTTATACATGGAGAATGAAGAGGGAAAGGAAGGATCCAAGAAGAAAGAGTGGAGTTTGACAGTGTGAAATTAGATTTTTTTTGAACTGAGATAGGAATGAGATGAAAAAAAGGAGAGAGAAATTGTAGACCAATAATACAAAGATATTTGAAAAAAAAATAATGACAATAAATGAGAGACTGAAAAAGGAGAAGCCTAACTCAATTGGAGAAGAGACATGGCAACAGAGGAGTAAATGTAGGAGAGACAGAAGAGGAGAGAAAACCAGCTAATACTTCTCTCTCACTCTCTCTCTTTTGCTTTTTTATTTATTTATTTTATTTTTGTATTAAATTCCATCTTACTTTAATTTTGGGCTTGGGTTTAAAAATAGAAAAACAAATTAATGAGTCCACGCGTACAAGCAAAGGAGTCCACTAGGCCGTGTCGTGCTGCAGTCTGGGCCCACATTCATATTGTACAGTGTCACGCGGGTTTGCATAAGAATTTGGATACAAGAGTGCTGAACACGGGTATAAATCAGCCGAGTGAACTCACGAGCTATTCGAGCTCGAGCTTAAAAATAATTTTAAAAAATTTAACTCGAATCAGTGTGAGTCTAATAATATTCAGTTTGGAAGCTCACCGATTTTTATTGAGTTTTTATATATACATATATAATATTTATTTTAGATTTACTCGCATCTTGAGCTCAAAATTTTTTAAATTTAACTCGATCTCGAATATAGAATTTTCAAACTCGTCGAGTTTTAAACAGAGTTAAATTTTATGGAGCCGAGCTTTGAGCCTAGTAAATTCAAGCTTGGCTCAGCTTGTTTGCACTTCCTACACTCTCAAACAAATTTGATTTAGAAAGATTTTTATAAACATAGAAAGACAAATTGGATTTAAGAAGAAGTTTGTAAACATCTATCTATACTATATATAAATTTGTGAATATTTCAATATTGCTCTTAATAAAATTTGTAATATCTAGAATAGCGTTAGTCATAATCATTTAGAAAATTAATTTTATTAGTTGATTGAATATAATTTATAAAATTATATTTAAAATAAATACATATAGATAATTAAGAATTTCAAAATTTTAAGTTTTATCTTTTAAAATTTATTTTTAATAAAGATATATGATAATGAGAAGTTTGAAATTTTTTATATTTTATTTTTTAAATATTAACTTGGCTTTAGTGTTTTTTTTTTCATCAACATTAATTTTTATTAAATTATGACCTTTTCAATCGAAGAAGTGGTTGATTTTTGAAATTTAAATTGGTCATGTTTTAATATAATTTATTGTATGTTGAGTTCTGAAACGAGTTTTATTCTTAATATTAATTTTTTATTTTTTTTATTTTTTTCATTATTGAATTAATTTTTGACTTCTATGACTTTAATTTAGTAAAGATTTATATCCCCTTTGCTTGATAATTACGTATTTTTAATTTTTTTTTAATATTTTTTCTCTTATCTTTTAAATCTGTTTAATTTAAAAGAAAATAGTGTTTATGAAACTGAAAAAATAACTATAACTATATATTTCTATTCTTGGTTACTTTTTGGAGTTTCAAGAATTTATGTGTACTATAACTATATATTTCTATTCTTGGTTACTTTTTGGAGTTTCAAGAATTTATGTGTATGTGTATATATTCTTCTTTTTAATACACTGGGTAAGTAATACTGCGACTATAACCAAAATGATTACCATTATAAATTTAATGATGACTTGATTTCTTTTTGGGCCACCTAATAGAGGCCAAATACATATATTTGCCCCCTGAACTTTTAAAAAATAACCCTATAGCACCTCTAACTTTACGGAAAACCAATTATGCGACCCAATTTCATTTTTTTTATCAATCCTACACCTGTCCATGCTGGCAGACCAATGCATGGATAAAATCACTCAAAAGGAGCGCTAATTGAATTTATTACGACCTACGTGGAAAAAACTTTGTCCAACTTGGCTTTTACTGTTAAATTTTCCTTCTATTTTGCAACTATTTTCCCTCTTCTTCTTCTCTTGCTCTCTATGTGAATAACTTAAGTGCAAGAAAAAATGTATTTAGTTTTGTTTTTTCGTGAATTTTTTGAGGGAGATAAAGCCAATCGACTAAGGTTACTCCTTAGTTCAGTATTTTCCTTCATTTTCTCAAAGACCAAATATAGTTAGTTCATCACATATTCAATTGAATGAAAATTGTAGCTGAAAATAGTCCATTCGCACTCAAAAACTTGCCATTAATAAATATAAAGCTATCACCAAAACAAAATCATACAACAAAGCTGCAGAAAAATCCAATTCAGAAGCCCAAAAACTGGGATTGTTTTATACTTTTCATTTTTCAAACACAAAGAGATCTATCTCAATTTTTAGATCTTTCTGTAGTTTAATAATCAAAGACTGCAGAAATAATCATGGAAGAATTTGATCCATACTTTTTTATCTTATAAGAATTCGAACTTTGAGGAAATAAGGACTCACATAATAGAGAGAGTCTTGGAGCAGCGATATCTTTGAGAAGGAAAGAGTTGTTGTACAGGAACAGAGAGCGAAAAATGGAGACTTTAGATATACATTTTAAGAAGTATTTAAGTTACACAAACTAAGAGATAGGTTACTATAACAACTTTGTAGGACTTTAAAGTTGGGCTACAACCTTATGACTTTCAATTAAAAAGGGTTTCATTTTCCACTAAATTATCCTAGCCAGGGCTTGCGTAATTCACGCGCGTCTGCCAACATGGAGAGGTGTAGAATTGATGTAACAGTTATGGATTTGAGGTGCATAATTGATCCCTGCAAAGTGGCAGCCATAGTATTATTTTTTAAAAGTTCAAGGGGCAAATCTATGTATTTAGTCATTTAATAGGGTTTTAAGAATATGCTTTTATAAATTAGGGGTTGAGGATTAGGTTTAGGAATGAGGTTGGAATTTATTTTGAGACCACTCTCATTATATAAAAATAAATTAAATATATAAGAAGTTGTGTTACAAGTAGCTTGTATGACAAAGTCTAATATAAATTAACCAATTATATTTATTTTAATCTAAACAAAAACTTATATTTTAATATTATATGAATACAAAAAATTAAAAGAGCGTAAAAAATGAGTATATGATAAGCATAATTAACATGCAATCGTCAAAAAAACTACTGGTAACTAAAAAGTTATATACTACTGGAACTAAAAGAGTTATATATATATGTATATATATATATATAATATATATATAGATATATATATAATTACTATTTTTTTAGTTATATTCAAGGTTTTTTTTTACTGTTGTACCAAAAGAAGTAAGTGTTTTAATTTTTTTAGATATATATATAATTACTATTTTTTTTAGTTATATCAAGGTTTTTTTTTGACTGTTGTACCAAAAGAAGTAAGTGTTTTAATTTTTGTTCTACATTAAAGTTTTTCTTGTCTACACAATGGTTGAATATCAAGGTTTAAATATGTGTTGTGTTTACTACATTATGTAATAAAATTCAAAATTAAAATATAGTCGATACAAAAGATTTACACTATACAATACAAAATAATGTAAAAATATATGAAATTTACACAATTTCTTAATGTGTAATTATACATAAGATTTTTTTTTTTTTTTTAAATGTACTCATGTTGTTTGGGAATTTAACAACTCCATTTATAAGGATTTTCAAATTAATCCAAAGGAAATTTATATAAATTGTTAGAAAATTACTCAAAAGACGGGTAAATTTTATGAACAAATTAAAATATGTATTTTTTTTTTATTTTAACCACCCAGTATCTGAAATCCATTGGCCCACCTAATTTGCATTCACGCCAGGCAAGTCCACACTGGCGCACCTAATCATAATTCGCACCAGGCACGCTCACAAAGGGATGGCAAAGCATGCTCACAAAGGGTTGGCAAAGCACTCCATCTTGAGTGTTTAAATGGACTTCATACCTAGGGCTCAAACTCTAAATCTCTTGTTAAGGGAGAATGGATTCCTTCCATCCCATCTCACTCCTCGGGAGTAAATTACATAATCTTTACAATATCTTTATAATTAGGAATAAAGGCCAATCTGGTCCCTGAACTTATTTAGCAGGATCAAACAGGTATGATAGCTAACCGAGCCAATCCTCTATTATGAACAATATGATAGCTAACCGTAATAACCAATTTCATGACCTTTGATACCCAAACCACATCAAAATTGATTTTCAGCATGAGTTGTTGTAAAAAACTCCATTCTACCAGGTCATAGGCCTTAGACATGTCTGTCTTCAACGCCACTTCACCTGTTTTCCTTTGGTTTTTCGCTTCAAGTAGTTCATAATTTCGTAGGCTATCGTTATGTTATTTGTAATAGCTCTACTAGGCATAAATGCACTCTGACAGTTAGAAATAATATCAGATAAGCAAGATTGCATACGGTTAGCTAGGGCCTTACTCACAATCTTATCAACCATATTACAAAGCGAAATCGGTCTCAAATCTGAAACAGTCTCAAGATTACCTTTTTTCGAAATTAAAATAATGTGTGTTTCATTATTACCAGGAAAACAACCATTATCATTCAAAAAGGCAAGACACGCCTCACTAATATCCTCATCGACAATATGCCAAAATGCTGGGCAAAAGCCAGGGTTCAGGCCATCCGAGCCAGCCAATTTATCTGGATTCATTCCCTTCACTTTCGCCTTAATATCTGCCATAGTAAAAGGTTTCAAGATCTCAGTCAACTTTAGAGGCATACAATCTAAAGCCGTTAATACATCTCCTTGCTCGGAATGAAAGAGTGTAGAAAAATAAGAAATAATATGTTGGTCTAGCTTGTATCCCAAGTCAGCCACCTATCATCCGGCCCTTTCAACTCTATTATCATATTTTTCTTTTGCCTAACTGAAGCATACGAATGAAAAACTTTATTTTTTGGTTCCCCTTTTGAAGCCAATGTTGTTTTGCACGCTGCCGCCAATAATATTCTTGCTATTTGAGCAAAGCTAAGTAAGCATCTGAGGCTATTCGAAATAATTGGACTGAAACTGGATCCATCTTGTAGCGAAATCTTGCCATCTGGAATCTAGCGTCCTGCAGTTTCTGCTTGAAAAGAATCTGACGCTTCTCCCCCCACTTAGCTAGGTAAATTCAACACTGAACGATTTGATACTCAAGAGTGGAACCCACCCCTTGAACCCATGCTTCTTTAACTGCTTCTGCTATATCCAGCTCCTTTAGTCACGAGTTTTCAAAATAGAAAGAGCGCCTAGCATACTGAATCACATTAACTCCCAAATTGAGAAAAATAGGAACGTGATCGCT